TTCCTCTGTTGATGCCCTTGATTTAGTGCCACCTTTGCTTAGTGCTACAAAATGAGCAAAGAATCCAAAGTGCAAATGATGGCACTGATTTGGCCGGGTTTGACTGTATTACATCTATCCAGTACAATGATCGTGATTCATTCTGTTAGAGCAACAAAGCACCATGTTATCACAGCATTAGACAAATTGTTTTCGGAACGACGATAGTGTTCAATTATGAGTTATGTTATAATGATTTTTAAGTTTTTAAGAATCATATTTCTGGGAATGTATTGTATTTTCTCTTAATCCAGATCCGTTTTCCTCTCGACGGGATCAACCATGAGATAACTGACGCAGCTGAAAGCACCGCTATTCTGTTCACCGCGTCACCGTCAACAGAGAAACCAATTACATCAGCGACGTTAAGCAAGCCGCTGAACAGTCTGTTCTTGTCCAATGACTTGTTCGTCGATGTGGGTGTGCCAAAAATGGAGAACACGACTATCAGGGCGTCGCCTTTGCTGGAATTTGCAGCAGTGTCGTCCACCTTGCAGCCACAGGTGTTTGTTTCTCCAGCGAGAGATTTGCTGGAAGCATTCCGGTTGCAGCCGCCGAAGTTCAACTTTCTACAGCTCCGATCCGCTGGGGTAATTAATTCATTAAATTGCAGAATTATTATTCGAAGAGAATATAGCAGAATAGTAGCTAGAAACGTGTTTGGAAAAAGAAAAATTTTAGCAATAAGCATCGCTAGACAATTCTTTCCTCATAATGCAAACGATAAATCGAAATATTAAATTATTATAAGTTGGATTTCCTCAGTGATTATTTCAATGTCGTCGTGATGCATTTCATTAAGGATCAATGAATAGAGCCAAGAAGAACACATTTACCAACTAATGCAATTTTAAGAATTTTTAGCAGTAAAAACCATCGCAAAGCAATGCTTTCCGCGCATGATGCAAACAATAAATGGAGAAATGAAGTCAGAACTTGGATTTATTCAATGATTTTAATGAAAATGTTGTGGTGATGTATTTCATTGAGGAACACCTCCATGACTATGTGACAAGTAGAACACGTTCACTAACTTATTCAAGTTACTGAATTGTATTAATGTACTTTAATCCTTCTTGTACAGTATATAGGATTTTACTTCAGCGGTTTCTTCCAAATGAAATTTTAGGATCAAAGAAAAGATCGTTTGTTAAACAAAATTGTGTGAATTAATTTGACCATGATGTTCTTCAAGAAAACATTAACCCCCTGATCCACAATAAAATCTCATTGCTGTATTTTTAGCGCTTTTAAAAAAAATCAGACGTAGCAAAAGACAACAAGGAATGCCTCCGTTTGTCGTAAAACGTTTGCTGATTGAAATGAATTGCATAAGGAAAAATAATAATAATTTTGATGAGCCTTAAATCAGTAAAATCGCATTGTAAAAATATTGGTTGATGTTTACGTTTCATTTTGTCGGAATTCAAGCAATAATTGAGTTCAATTATACATAATTACTGTTTATACTGTTCGGTACAGTATTTACTTTTAGGAATTATTGAATGGAATAAACATTAATCCTAAAAAAATCATTACAAAAATATGCACAATTAAATTCAATTATTGCTTGAATTCCGAGAAAATGAAACGTGAACTTCTACTAATATTTTAAAAGAAGTGTATTGAGCGAAATATTTAATTTTTGATTGAATCTCGATGAAACCCGGCAATTACATTACAGTATACTGTCTCAAATTATAGATACAGTACTGTACTGTACATTTATTGGAGCATATACTGTATATGGTATATACTGTACTGTATTGTGTTTTTTGCATATATGTTTTTTTAATTTCAGAGTGGACCTCAGAATTTGGTGGATGGGGCTGACTCAGGAATGAAGGGTCCCAGGTTCCAGCCAAGCCCATCGCCCATCCATTTCAGCCTGCGACCCAACCCCTCTGACTACAACTACAACTACTACGACGAAGAAGAAGAGGCTTCCGTTGCGCTCGGAACCGGAAACCGATTCGCCGACTACTACGACGGCGTCCTGCAACTAGACCGGAAACTGGAGTCCCTGGACGATGGAAGTCTCCGCTGCTTGGACACCGGCGTGTTTCCGCATCCGAATTCTTGCAAAAAGTTTGTCAATTGCGTACGAGACAAAGACGGCGCCCTTAGGGGCTGGGTGTACACGTGTCCTCGGTACCTGGCCTTTGATCCAATCGGCGGAATGTGCAATTGGAATGACGCCACTTTTTGCGGACGGGCAAACGCCGTCGTAAAAAAGCCGTAATAACCTCCCCATGTGTGTTTGTGTGTGTGTGTGTGTGTGTGTGTGAGTGTCAGAAAATTAACCTGAGTTTTATTTTATTTTTGCATCGTTGCGAGGGGCATTAAGAACGTTTGCGACTTAATTATCTTCTATGTTAGCCTAAAATTGGTGCCTTTTCTCGATCCCAAGAATCTTTTGTGTCGCCCGCAGCGTTTTGGGAAGGTCATATTTTACTTTTACATTTTTGACTGCAGGATGCTGTATTTCTAGTTTCGAATCATTGTTTATGTTTTTAACTTGAGCCCAGTGTTGGTATGAGATGAGGGGATATAACAAAAAAATTATGAGCCTATTGTGCTTTTTTTTTTGAATTTCATTTGCAACATTCCTTGTCTTTTAAAGTTACATTATACAGTACCCGAAAACAATTGCTTTCATTGGTGCGTGAGATGTCTTGCCACTTGCGATTTCCCTCGTGGAAGATGTCAGAAATCATCATAAGTTGAAAAGGTCTCACTAAAGCGTTTGTTTCAAAAGCATATTCTGAGTTTCGAATAAAAATTTGTAAAAGAAAGTCCGAGAATCATCAGTAAGGATTCGAAAAAAATTTTGAATCATCGCCAATGACGTGATTAGGCCCTTGAAAACTGTGAACTTGTTTCCATCAGTTGATTGCAGTGTAAACAGATTTTTAAAAATGTTTCAAAAACCAGCAAAAAAAGTATCTGAGAATTTTGTGTGAATCTGCGCACTGGCTTCTATACGTGAATCAAGTGCCACTGACTAGAAATTGTGAAGATTAAAGATGTGCGAAAATTGTGGAAGAAGCTCTCCCTGTTTTCATTTGAAATTTTAACGTACAGACAGTATCCCCAAATTATTTTCCAAAAGTTGTGCAAAAAAAATAAATAAATCTTCCGAATTAATCGGTTATGACAAAGCATCCTGTGGTTTATTACAGTATAGGTTTTCTTCCAAAAGCGAATTTTCTGAATGCTCCTCGATGTGTTACGTCTTCCATGACGGAGGCGGGATCATGTGATACCTTTTTGTTTTGTACTTCTTAAATTTTCAAAGAACTGTTTTTGTTTATCCCTTAACGAAAAAGTCAATACTGCCCATAATCTCGTTTTCCTCGTCTCCCAAGTGAAGAACAAATTTTCTTCTGCGCGGAAAAAGATGCGTTGTGTGTGGATTCTATCTTAATAAAGAAATTGTTTAGAAAAAAATGTTGTTCCTGCTGTTGCGAGATTTTGATTGACTATATCTGTTTTTATGCTTGCTAATTATTGGATATACAGTATATTTAGGTGTATTTTAGAATTCAAACTTCATGAAGTTGCAGATCACCTCAATTTGGAGGAAACCGAAACATTTGTACACAAAAAATCGTAGTTTGACTCCTGGCACTTTACCTTCATGATGCTGAATACTGCTGTGCAATGCGGCTTACCATTGACCCGAAATTGGATTCTTAGTTTTGTGATATAATACATACGCCTGAATTTTAAACCGCTCGATAAAACTGGAAAATTATGGTTAAATTGTAACGAAATTCGAAAGCCCAGGAGGATGCGCACGATCGGTAATTTGAAATGACAGATTTTTTTTCTTTTAGTAGAATGACATCTATTTATGGGCGGGACATCAGAGGTTTCAGTGCATATGACGCAAAATATAAGCGTACAAACTTCCCACCTCGAAGTTTCATGTAAGCATCCAGCGGAGAACGTTTGGCCTGGTTCAATTTCAAAATCTTCGGGGCTATTGTTATTGCAGAAAAACGCTGATCTCCTTTGAAGTCCAAGGTGAAAGTGTGGCTTAACCTGAATTGTTCGACTTGAGTCTTCCCGACATCTATTGAAGATATGTTTCTCCGACACATCTTTCTCAGATTTTGGTTTAGATAGATCACGTAAAACTAGGGGATTGTTTCAGTTTCACGCACGGTTGGTCGACTTCAGCAGTAGAGTGAAGGTGTCTTGAATTGACTAGGTGGTTTTGGTCATTACGGGAAACGTCGATACCGGAAAGAAGTTAGACGCGTAGATCTGCTTCTCTTGAGTACACCTAATGTGAAGTCCGTTGTTAATTTGTGTGCTTCCGTTTATGTTGTTCCGTGTAGTTCAACTAGTATCGCCTCTGTAATTTTATTCGTTCGCGAATAGCGAACTTACTTGGTGTTCGAAAATCGTGATTGAATACGCAGACATCAATTGTTGGCTAATTTATGTCGAAAAATATGATGGTTGTCAAGTAACCCTGTAATGTGGTTGTTTGAGCTTCTGGATAAGAAGTGATATCAGCTGGAGTTGATGCCGACTACGCTGTCAACGTCTTAGACCAAAAGTTGTGTTGTATACACTGTACAGTACTCACAGCTTCGATGTGTGGTTAGGCGTTAGGGAGGGAAGTGGAGTAACGAGTAACCAACATTTTATTTATGCTGAATTCATCAACGAAACCATTACAAATAAGCGTGGGAGAATCTCGAAATTTTTCAGAAGCGTGCAGTATAGAGACCTGGGCACATTTGGGCCCTCAGTTATCTACAGTGAACACCAGAGCATCGGTCCCCATCCATCGTTGTGAATTTTCTATTACGAGCGAATGCTGTTATGATGTGCAATGGAGTGATAAGCGTAGCAAAAAAATTGCGTGTGAAAATGTGTGCACCTTTTGGCCCTTCAATTAATTTTTTTTTTGCGGTGAAATTTTCACTGGATTTGGTGATTCTTGTTTTGTCATTCGATAGGATATTTTTATTGCCGAACAGTAGTGCTTTCCGCAAAATTTTCGCGAATTCGTGGTTGTCGTGATGACACTCACGAACAAAGGAAATGCCGGAATGGTTCAACGAAGTACAAGCTCTGCCGTTCACTCGGTGTGGTCTTTTATGAGATCGTGCGTTAATCTGAGACACCGAGATCCGTACGGCCTGCGTGCTGGCGGTGGTTTATCCTACGGTGAGGATTGAATGCTCGCCCCTTATTTTGTGTGATGACGGATGTCCTCGCCTTTTCAGAAGACGACACTTACGGATCATTCATTGTCGAACTGGAAAAAAGTGAAGAATTTCCGCACTGGGGATTGATACTAGCAGGTAAAGTTTAAAAATTAAGATTATTGTGCGTGCAATCCGTTGATTTTAAACTGTCCACTTCATTCTTTTCGACAGGTGGTGCGGACCGCGGAGCCCCGGTTGTCGTTGCGAGCTTGCGAAGGAACAGCATTGCGGATGTTAGTGACAGTCTTCAACCGGGAGATTTCATCATGGCTGTTAATGGATCACTCACCGACGTCTTGAAACATGGAGATCTGATCGAACTCTTAACCGCATCATCTTTAAAGTTGAGTTTAGAAGTCGGTTACGATATGCAACCTGTTCTCAACCTCTGTAAGTACTTCTGGTGATTGATCAAGGTTTTCATAATCTAATCAAATTATTTTTGCAGCATCTACGAAAGACGCCAAAAAGCTGACGTACGCGAAAGCGATGCAAGTCAGGCTTTCGCGGCCTCTTGGTTGTGGACTAGGAATTATTTTGCGTGGCGGTTACCAGGAACATACAGGACGGAATTATCCTTTGATTGTATCTTACATTCGTCCTGGAGGAGCAGCAGCGGAGTGAGTTCCCAAATTTTCGCGCTACTCGCATTTTCTGCCATTTCTCCGTCCATGATTGTTTTCAGCGAGGGCAGCATTCAAGTTGGTGACAGAGTTGTTGCTATAAACGGCATATCGTTGTTCCAAGCTACTTTGAGCGATGCCGTCCGTATTTTGAGCTCCAGTGATGGCATTCATGAAACAGGTCGTCGTCAAGCCGACGTGAATCGACGGCATCAGATGTTCACCTTGACTGTGGAATACGATGTGGACGCCATTGAAGAGGTTTGCATTTATTCATCAACCATGGTAGGTATGTGTTTTAAATTAAAGCATTCCCTTTTTTCCGAATAGAAATCAAAAGCGAAAGGCCCATTAACTGTTGACATCCCCTGTTCATCCGATGGTTCATCCTTGGGCGTTCAGCTGGGGATCAGTTTTTGGGACGGGGCTTCGATTGTCGTGGAAGCTGTTCGTCCCGGAAGTATCGTTGATCGGTATGTGACTGACAATAAAATAGCTTATCCTTTTAATTTCTTCGAAACCTTTGATATTCGGGTTATTTTAATTTATCTATGAAACTCGGTACTGCTCTCACAGTTCAGATGTTCTGATTTTACCCGAATCGAACTTAGTTTTATCTAACCCAATTGAATGAGGATTCCAAGACTTTTGGGTGTTATTTTCCTGATTTGTGTCAAGCTACTTTTGACATGAAATACTGTGAGTAATGATCATGAATATTTATTTTTTTTTCGGTTAGGATTTCTGGGTATTTCGCTGATCATCTTCGTTTTTAGAAAAGTTCCTCTCAAAACTGAACTATAGTCCGTGTTAAACATACCTGAACGAACCTGAACGATCGGATATCGGCGAAACCTGAGAATAGCAATGCGAAAAATGGTAAAAGTTGAAACAACTGCGGACGTATAGGTCTGAGAGGAAGTAATTAATTTATGCCTAAATTTGAATTGCAGTAATTTTGTGTCGCAGATGTGGCGCTCTTCATCCAGGAGACCGAATTTTGATGATAAACGGTGTCGCCGTAGAAGGAATCCAAGTTGCCGAAGTGAATGAAATCCTTGAAAGGCGGGTACTGAAGCCGTGGAAGATTTTGATCATTCCTTCACATTTGCTATCCGGGAATCCGAAAATTGCAGGTTAAAATATGTCGCATCATTTCTAAGGCTGTTGATTTGATTCCATCATTTATTTTCCCACAGGTGATTGGAGATTCGTTTCGTCTCGGGATATGCAGAAGAAGAGCAAATCTCGCCGTCACAGTTTTTCAAAGCCGGCGACGAATGCACCAAATGAACCACAAACGAATCGAAGTTCCTCGCTGACGAGGAGTGTTCGGAGGGGTGAGTTTAGTATTTTTCTTTTCTTTTGAATCGTGTCATTCCAGGTTATCAGATCACTAAATTTGGATATTTTTCTGAGAAACTGCTCGAGAGACAGTAATGAGGTTAATTGCGTGGTCAGATTTAAGTTCGAAGCCACCGCTTGCTCCCCGCGACTCCGTTATGAAACGAGCGGATTCTGACCCGGGGACGTGCAAGCGACTGCGTTCAGAGACGCATATCGTGGAGCTTTGGCCAGATTATCGCCGGGATTTCGATCATGGTTATTATTATGGGTTCACCGTGAGCGGAAAGACGTTTGGAGAGGATGGGTTGTTGGAAAGTCCTCCGGTCATTTCTGCTGTGGATCCGCAAGGCTCCGCGCGAAGGTTTTCAAAACAAATCAATTTTCATACCCTGTGTGGCTGCGAGTTACGGAAGCCCCGACTCGTGTTCGCATGAGCTAACCCGTATTTTACAATTTCTCATTATTTAATAAGTCGTTTAGGAACATGATGACCGTAGAAAGTTAGCTGGAATGAAATTTGTGTCAAGATTATGCGACAGTTTTCGATTGTTTTCACCTGTATCTATTCATGCTTAATGAAATCAAGTGTGAAAAAGCCATGAACCGTTTTCCTGAGTGCCGTGTGTTTATTTGGGATTTTTCATATTAGAGTACAGTATTTAACCCTACCACTAATGATTCGTGAGTGTGAGTTTATATTTTGTCTAGATTTAGTGGTGCTAGTCATGCGATAGATTTATATTTTTATTTCAATGTTTACTAAAGTAATAACTTTTTTCAGGTGTGGCGTGATCCAAGAAGGTGATCGGATCCTGAGTGTTAATGGTCGAGCATTTGCGTCCTTTTCATTGGAATCGTTGTGCAGTGCCATTGCTGAGATGAAACCACCTCTCAGTATTATGCTTGCTTTCGACATTTCGGATCCCCATTCGCCAGCATTTGGTAACTTTTATGTTACTATCGCTCTGAATGGAAGACCACCAGGAGTCACGTTCATGCGGAGTGAGTGACTCTCGTATTACGTTTTGTTTTAATCCTAGCGTTGCACCATTGTTGGCTGTTGAAGCAGTACCGCCCTTTTTGCATAGACATTCATTTTTTTCTCGAAAATTCATTTGACATTGTGATTTAATATTACTCTAATGACATTGTTTTGATTAAATTTTCTTTAGGCCTGTTTTTCTTGAATTAAGTGTACAAATTACCTTCCTCAATTACTGTGCCATAATTTTGTTCGCTGTGTTAAACGCATATTTTTTTAAAATTTGATTGAAGCGCAGATGATTGCGTTTTCAATGCAGTAGTTTTATTTCGTCATCGTGTAATACTGTATAACTTGGAATCTTACCCTCAGCTAGTATTCAAAAAATTTCAAAAGTGACTTAGATCAGCGGATATTCCTCGTGGTCAACCAAATCACTGTTTTGGCCTCATCCTGTCTTTAACATACCACCTGCGTGATTATTTGATAACAAAATATTTTCTCCTTTCATTTCGAGCGTAATTTTTGAGTCAAATTCTGCTTCGGAAATTCCTTAGGACAATCTGCCTATTGATTTTAGAAGTTATTTAAATTTTGCATCTATCAAAGCTCCGAACTTAGAGTATGTGCTTTTTTCATCCTGTTCAAAAATGTAATCGTTGTAAATATTTGGCTTAAGGATTCCAGATGAACGAGTCCATAAGAGAAGGTGGATTGAGAATCGACACAATTATTGTGGGCTCTCCTGCTCATCGTTGTGGAAACCTTGTTCCTGGAGATGTCATCACGGCAGTGGAAGATTACAATTTGAACGAGTTTTGGGCGGATGATGAAGTTATCGCTACGATGCAGTCGGCATCTGATCCAGTCCGTGTCAAGGTTTCCCGCGAACAACAGGCTGGTGAGTGCTTCACAAATTTGCAAGGTTGTTGTTTTCAAGTGCTTATAAACTTGATGTAGTGGACTGACGGTGCATTGTAAACATCCATGATTAATTTTGATGCGACCGAAAAGAAAAACTTTTTGATAAATGAAGATCATATTTACGTAATGTCCGAAGACGAGATCCCCAGTTAGATGCATGTTCATAAGACAAGGAAGAAGGAGAATTCAGCAGAAGTCCTCGAGGATTCGAGGCGTCTTGTGGTTAATTGAAAAATCTACTGGTCGCAGAATAAAGTGTTTTGGCGTAATTTTTTTCTCGTGCCTAAATTCTTTGTTTTTAGTTCATTGAAAAAAGTCTTCTCCGAAGATCAGAGATTTTATTCATTGATGCCTGGCGATGATTGGCCGTTTTTTTTTTAAATTATGCTTTCTTATACGAAAAATTTTATTTCTGTGCAACAAGTTTGTATAAAGTATTTGACGGTTCATAATTCTCGTTCTCATTTCCAGCTGAATCTGGGACGGTGTTGGATCGTGTCGATGGATATCTATATAAGGTGGGCAAAGGATCAAATGCCTCCTTGGAGAAAAGTGTTTTCGACTCTTGGGGTAGCCTCTTCGAACAAACTTGTCCAAAATCGCCGCGAGCAAAAACCCCGAGTCCGTCGTTCAGCCTAACGAATACAAAAAGATCGCTGGAGTCTCTGGGAAGTTTGGCCAGTACAAGATGTAACAGTGCTGGTAAGTAGGATTGTATCATTTTGTTGTTGAGCTTGAGGCTATTCTTCATTATTTTTTTCCAGCGGGGCAGAACTTATCTAAAAGCGATGTGAAAGTTCTCGAAGAGGAGAATTCATCCTTCGCTTTCGACAGAGCTGGAGCAAACTCTGCGTCTGGTATAGGTGAGTTGTTCGTTAATCCGGTGATGAATTCCATTAGAATTCCTGTGTATGTTTCAATTTTTCGCAATTGTTTTCTTGCAACAGACTCCACGAATGACCCATGGGAAGATCTTTTAAGAAGTTTGCGCGCTGCTGGACGGTCGCCGAGTGCTTCTTGTGCATCTCTCAGTGCGTTGACAGCATGTATTTCGCAGTTAAAATTTTTTTTAATCAAAAGTCGCTTGTAATATTTCCATACCGCGTTGCGAACGACAAATAAGCTGGTTTTTTTTTTTTTATTATCATTGTCTTCAAATTTATATTGATCTTCTTTTACATGTTGGGGTCAAACCCCCTGTCTTTTCTTATTTTAGCATCTGGAAAGGAAAAAGACATCAAGTCTGGACCAGGAAAAGGTTCGAGTTTTGTGAAAAAAGAAAGCATCGAAGCTAGTGATGTAGCATCCGTAGGAAACCGGAGAGACCGATATTTTTGCGACGTCCCTGATGTTGTATATCCGGAACTTGCTCGGGGCGGAGCGCAGAGTTCCGCAAGTGCACGACCTGAAACTCCCGAGGATTCCACAGTGGAGATCCTACAAGTGCAACTCACGAAAGATCCCGTGTATGACGATTTTGGGTTTAGTCTGTCTGACGGGCTATCTGTCCCAGGAGTTTATGTGAATCGGATTCGTCCTAATGGTCCCGCCGATGTGTCTGGGAAAATTCGTCCAATGGACCGAATTCTTGAGGTGAGCGTCTAAGAAATTTTGACGGCGATATCTCTGTTGTGTGGCTGAAATTATTATTCCCTGTGTAATTGATCTGATATGAAGCAACAAGATTCTGAAGATTATCATTTTCATGGATTTCTCAGGTCCATGGAATAGATACGCGAGACTTGAACTGCTGTATGATTGTTCCATTGGTCGCCTCATCTGGAGAAACATTGGATGTGGCAGTTGCTCGGAAGCCAGGCCAAACATTACAGTCAAGCTTCCGTTACGTGAGTATGATCATTTTGAAAGAAATGACAAAGTACTGTACAGGACATAAGTATTTTACAAAGTCGTAAAAAATATCTTCGAATCGCGATGTTTCCTTTCATCGCTGAAAATTGACTTTTACTGTATTTTCTCATCTTCAGTTGGAAGATTCGAGAGGAGACTCACCCCTTGCGAGAAAACCTGCTGGAACTGAGAAATTCATTTTGTGTCCGAACGCCGAGTCAGTTTAATTATCACGAATATACCTTGCTGTCATCTGTTGCATTTCTTGTGTGTATCAATTTGCTTGAGTGCCTATGATGTACTGTGCCTCTCTAGAAATATCGTATCTCAAGGGAAATTATTCGTTGGGTCTCACTTGAAAAACGGTTAATGTTTTCATTGAACATATAACTGATCAGTTACCTGAACGCGGAACGTTTTTCCCGCAAAATTTGAAAAATAATGAAGTCTTTTTTGTGCTTTCAAGAACACTGACCGAGTGGATATGAAAAGGAAAAATTAATCGACATGTGCTGATCTTCAGAAGTGTTTCGATTATTTTGTAATCTCACTTTCGAATGTCTCTTGAGTTATGCAATTTTATATCCTTCTTATTGCAGAATGTTGAGTCCGGAATATCACGTGAACACGTAGATTTTCGCGCTGCAGACGTGTTGTTTCGACTACTGTACTCACACCTTTTCTACCTGATAATGTGTTTGTGTACAGACTAAGTGCGCGTGAGTGTTCTTGTTATTTATCGCGTCGTTGTCAGGATGAGTGCGGACTTGGATGTCGATATCAGTGACCCTAATGGAAACCAAAAGCGAACTGAGAAAAGCCTCGGGATCCTAACCCAGAGATTCGTTGAGCTCTTGCAAACCACCCAAGGCGGCATCATTGACCTCAAACAAGCCGCCCAGAAATTAGAAGTTCGTCAAAAGCGCCGCCTGTACGATATTACTAACGTACTTGAGGGAATCGGCCTTATCCGGAAGTGTGGCAAGAACTTCGTGCAGTGGCGTGGTGGGAAATTGTTGCGCCGTCCAGTTGAAGGCAGTGGTTCGCAAGGCGAACGATCGACTGCGTTACGTGATGAAATTTTTGCTATGAGGTCCGAGAGCGAGCGACTGGATTCTTTGATTCAGATGACGTCTCAGTCCGTTAAAAACATGTTCGATGATGAGGACTTTACCAGATACTGCTATGTTACTCCGGAAGACATCCAGCTCAAGTTTCCGGATGACGATGAGAAAGTTGTTCTTGGTGTTCACAGCGAACAGCAGTCATCAGTCCAAGTTTATCAACCTATGAAGGTGAGCAGATTTTATTGTGAACAAGTTTCAGTGATTGAGACATTTTCTCTTCGAACTGTCTCCGTCTGACTGAAAAGTGTGGTGTGAATACCTATCCTGATCAAAAATCATGTCTGCTGAACGTCGAAGGCCTATCGATGATTAAATTGACCTTATGTGCCCGAACTAATTTGAGCCTCTTTGGACAGAGCTGAATCTAAGAATTACATTAAATGGCAAATATAATCACGGGGTCCGGGGCGCAACGCGTTGAATTGGGAAGAATTTATTTTTTATAACCGGTGATTCATCACAGAACTTCAGTTCTATACACTCTATGTACTGTGACGTATTTTTTTTTAGATCAAGATGAAAATGTCTGTTTTCTGGGTTTGTTAGAGTTGTCTTGTTTGTAATTTTTTTTATGATTTTTCTACAGGTTGAAGTGCCGGGACGAGGGGTGTTCGTGAGACGAAAGCTTTCACTGAAATGTGAGGATGGGCCGATTGATATGTTCCTCTTGAATCAGGATGGTTTGAAGAAATCGAAAGCTAGTAAAAATGCAAGCAAATTGCATTGGAAAAAAGAGACGCCGATGAAGATCAAAGCGGAAGATGTAAATGACAGTGAGGCCTTCCTTGGTGACCTCAACTGTCGCAACATATGTCAACTTTTGAATGGCCACTTCGCCAAGCCGGAAAATATGGACCCAGAATTCGACGCGGATGACGGTGATGATGTGTCCTTCGAATTACCCTATCTCAAGCATGTTGTTTCCCCGACTGAATGGTTTAATCGAATGATGGGAGTTGAAGAAGGGTCTAGAAACTTGTTCGACATCGACGTCGGGCCAGAGTCACCGTATTTTGTGGAAGCCCCGAGTGACCCAGCGGAGCATTTTCCAATGGACACTACTGGCCAAGAAGCGAGCGACAAGAATTCGAGGTCGTTGGCTCCGCAGCGCCGGGCTGCTGTTGAGGATTAAATTGTTTCTTTTATTGCGTGAATGTTTTTTCAGTGCCAGAGCACAGACAATATTTGTACATTTCAGCCCGAGCTGGATACCGAAAAAAATTTTTGAAGAGAAGAATAACACTCGGTACGTTCAAAAAGTTCTCGTCAATTCCGGGGGGGGGCTATGGGTTTAGTTGCGCATTTGTTTGTTGAATTTCGTTTAGCCTTGAACTTCTGGCGAAGTTTTTTGTACTGCTCGCTGAGCCTTCTCTAGAACTTTAATGCTGTTGCTGGCATTATGGAATGTTTATGACTGCGTAAATTGTATTCTCACGTAAGCGATCAGTGGTGTGAGCAGTTCAGCTGATTCGTTGAGAGCTGCCTCACGAAATTTGGATACGAATTTCACGTGATTTACGGCAGAACTTTTTGAACATTCCTGCTATCTTTTTTACATGCAAGATTTTTAAGCTTACCATGATGTTTCTATCATTGCTTTTTGAATTGAATGTTCCCGTACCATTTTATCGATAATGAAGATATCTAATGTTTTCGGCGGGTGTTTCACAAATAATTCAACACCGGTTTGATTTCGAATGCGACTGTTATATTGGTCAGCAAAGTTGGGTGAAGTGAGCATTTTTGGATGAATTTTGAAGAAGGTTTTACTTACTTTTAATGATTTCTAATTATTATTTTTTGTGCTTATGTTTTTTTTTCATTGGTTGCTGTTCATGTGTTGTGGGGACTTTAGTCATGATTGAAGAACCTTGCTGGAGTGGTATTCCAAGCCATCAACTTTAAACGATGTATTCATCCTGCCCTAATTGTTAGATGTGGGTTAGGAGCGCAAAAAGTTAAAGTGCTCCCTAGGATCATCATATTTTGTTACTTTTTTACGAACTTAAGGCATGTGGAATATCACGATTGCTTATTTACGTTCTGTTCTCCCTGTATTTTGCACATTTTGCTTCAGCTCTTGGAGATCCTTGTGACTGTTGACGGGTGTTTGTTCATATGATCCGTTGGAAAAATTCGGGTTTTTTGGAAGTACGAATTTTAATCGACGGTATTTTTCCGTCGAGATTGAAAACTGTCGGCGTGTATGTGTGCAGTTCATTTTGTTTGTTTTCTCTTTTTTTGTACGGGTCGCTGCGGAAGGCGCAAGCATTGGAAAATGTGGAATGGCTTTGGATTTTTGTCTCGAAGTTGCTCGCCAAGTCTGGATCGTTGAGGAAAATTTCCAAGATTTTCTTCTGGGAAATGTCTTCTTTCTTTTAGAACATTATCAAAAATTCGCATCACTTCCACTGGACATGATTATTGAAGCCGTATGCGCTTAGTAACTCGAGCTTCATAAGCAGTCGATCCCAGATACGTTTGAAGATATCTCATTCAAGACGCGAATTTTTAAAATTTTAGCCAATTTTTATATTTGTTTCTCCTTCCTACACCTGGATTGTGTGAAGCTTGCTCTTTTTATCTGCTTCAGATAAAAAGACTGTTGATGAATAGTTCAATTAATTTTGCATGGAGTCATCCGGATCGAGCCGCGTCAGAATTGAGCAGCTCCCGGTTTCAGTTTCTGGTTTAATCCGATCGAGTGTGCAAATTGTATCGCCTGCGAGATGCGTTGAGGAGCTTCTTTACAATGCAATCGATGCGGAAGCTGATTGCATTGCAGTTCGTTTGGACTTGGAAAAGCGATGGAGAATCGTCGTCGTCGACAACGGGGTCGGCATACATCCTCTTGACATGAACAACGTCGGGAAAAGGTAAAATTGTGACCTTAATTCCTGGCATTTAGTCTTGAAACTTCCAACTAATCTGTCCTTTTCTTCTCTGAAGACTTGTTTCGTAACATCATGAGCCTACCAACAATGCATTGAGGAAACAATAGCAGAGATCCTTTTGTTTTATTGTAGAAGAATTTAGTAATCGAACAGTTCCGGTTTTCTTCTGCAGGAAATTTCCCACTTTCAAAGAGAAGCTTTTCGTCAAATTCATTTGACTTCGAAGACCCATGTAGTACAATGTCTGAATAAGGTAGTACGTTATTTCTGCTCGGAAAGAATTTTTTGGTTTTTGATGCGAAGGCATGCAGATTGCTGTTTGATCAAAGGGTTTGCTTTACATGTGCCTTCAAAATTATTCAATAGAGTTTTTTGTCCTTGAATAAAAGCGTTTACCCATATTGAATAATCAATCAACTTCAGTTGATTGCCATTCGATTTGACATTTTTGTAAATGAAATCAATTTAAATGACGCATTCTCGGGAAGTTTTGGGGTACGCAAGCTCTCTTCTCTGCATTGCAATCTGGATTGAAAACTATGTGAAAAGAATTTACGGTCGGTTTTATTTTCTGCTTAAAACTTGTTTCAGGGTTTATAATGAGTTCAAGATTTTGGACATTTTCCTTTTCTTAGTCGATCCTTGTAATGATCCTAAGTTTAACTTAAATTACCGGACAACTGCATCATTTGCCTTGAATCAGCCTAAGACGTGTTTGTTTATTCTCGGGTATTTCTTCAATCTTGAGGATTATTTATATTTCTTGCAGGTATTTCACCAGTAAGTGTCACAGCACGGAGGAACTCTCTCGGAGCTCAGTTTATCATGGTTACCGCGGGGAATCCCTCTGCAGTATAGCACAAGTGTCTGGACTAATGGAAATCAAGAGTAAATGTCCCAATTCCCGAGAGACAAGTTGTCAATTATTTTGGCATGGGAAACCCTGGAAATGTTCTTCGACTGATTATACCGAACTCGCGGGGACCACCGTTACCGTCATGGATTTTTTCTACAATTTACCTGTGCGTAGGAAAGCGATGAAAATTTCTGTTGAAATCAACGCAATACGACAGTCGTTGAGCATGATTGCGGTAGTGTACCCAAATATTTCCATGAGCTTGAAAGACGAAAACACGGGGTCAACGTTATTTTCCGCTATCAAGTGCGACTCAACTCAGGATTCTTTTCGTCGAATTTTTGGCGAATCCGCTGCTCTTGGATTGAGGAAGCTGAAACATCGTCGAGGAAATATTGTTTTAGAGGGCTTTGTCAAAGAACAATTGTACGATCGCAGTGTGAAACTGCTATTTGTCAATAAGGTGTTTTTGAAGAAATGCAAACTGCAATCCGTGGTTGATGCAGCTTGCGCAAAGGCTCTTCAATGCGCTCGAAGTGAAAAGGGCTTTGTTTACATTTTGAACTTTCGGGTTCCTTACGGCGAGTACGAACTCGTACATGAGCACAAGTGCCGTGCGATTGAATTCGCTGACTGGCCTGCCTTGATTTCATGCGTTGAAGAATCATTCGCAAAATTCAAAGACGAACGAATTCTGAGAGTCGACGACGCTGAAGAAGAAGAAGATATCGGGAGACTGATTTCTCAGGATGTGCCTGAATCACTTCCGAGGTGTGATAATTGGTCAGATGCGAACAGGAGAATGAACGTGAATGAGAAGTTGGCGAGTTTTGCCCAAGACGAGCGTCCTTCTGGAACGAGTCTAAAAATTCGCCGGAAAGTTTCTGAACCGTGTCGAAGCAATCGGTCGGGCATTGTTGCTGCCCCATACTTCATGATTGTAAAACACGCACCGAAGTTACCTCGTTTGAAAACTTTGGACTTCCCGTCACTATATAAGTGCTTATCCGACGAAGTTCCGTCTGATTTCGAAAGCGTGAATTTTGTTGCTGGCAAAAAATTATGTCGTAAACGATCCGCAAGTCACATTACGGTTCGAGGTTCCTCGGTCCCTTCTGTTTCAAAAACCCAGGATTTCTTCTCGGACTTCGACAGTGAAGCGTCAAAAACACCAAAATCTTGGTATTTGGTATGTTCACGTTTCTTTCAAAATATGCCGTGAGCGCAATCGAATTTACGAAAATTAAATTACTGTAGTAATGTACTGTTTTGAGATGCGAATGCTTATGAAGAACAATGGAGATAACCGATCTGAACAAAGAGCATGCTTAGTCTTTTGTCCGTTTCTATGCACTATCTTGTTTGAGCATCGCTCTTCTATTGAGCACCTGTGGTACAACTCTGATGGCTTTCTTCTCCCCACTTTTACTTAGCATGAAGACAACAGAGTTGTTTTTGATGTCCCCGGAAATTCCGAAACAATCGAAATGGAGTCTGCCGGAAACCCCGTTCCGGTTTCGGATGAAGCAAATCGGTGTGATCAATTGACCAAAAGTGCCCTGAATATTGGCCTAGGCGTTCGTGGGGAGAACCGTTCTGATCCATCATCAGGCGTTAATTTTCCGGATCCCAATAAACGGGAATCAGATTCAAAAGTTGAATCTATTTCATCTTCCATTTCGCCAGAATCAGTTTTATCTTGGTCGTCGCACCGATTTCGCGAAGAATCGTCTCCCGAGAAACGCGTCTGGAAAGATACTTCAGACGTTGCTATCGTGAAGTCCAAGTCTCGCAGTATTTTCTCTGACCTTGATGAATTGGATGGTTCTGCAGAGATTAGGAAAATATCAGTTGAAACTTCACGGTGTTCCAAACCCGGATCCATAATCGAGAAGTGGAGGACATCTCAGACGAAACCAGATGATTCTCAATGCACTTCACACCCTCTAAGTGCGTGTTCAGAAGCATTTGTGGAATATCCTCAAAAAAATTTCCCTGCTGAAACCATTGATCTCGTGTCTGACGAAGTTCGTAGCGAACTTACGCCAGTATTGAACTTGGAAGAAGCTAATTTTGTATCACTCACCGAGAGCTGCACAAGAAACGATTTTCTGGATTCTTTAAGTGTACAAGCATCACAATCATCTAAAAAGGGCTCCTTTCTGGATAAATGGAGGAACGGTTCGCTTGCTTCTTCGCAAGCATATCGTTCTCTTGGAAGTCCGGAGGATTCGCCGAATGTTGGTCCCCAAAGCAACGATTTACTTGATGCGGGATCATCAGATAGTTCGCTCTTTCGCGAAGTAAATGATGTGGATCAGGGTAGTCATGCATGTGCCAGGGAAGAATTGAACTCCTGTGAATGGACCGGTTTGGAAAGAAATGAGAGTCACGAAATTGATGATGTCGGTGGGGGAAAATCCTGTTCTCTTGCATCTGATGAAGTCGGATTGGAACGGATGAATCCGGATCACATAGACGACCTTTTAAAAAGAAAATTGCAACCGTCAACCATAGCAGGCGTCACTGTACGTCAAGAGCCATGGGCTGATGAGAAATCGACATCTTTCACTCATTTTGAATACGACTGGGACAATCCGGTTTTTCCTGTTATACCTCAAGTTACTGACTTCTGTGTCCTCACGGAAGGAGCGACATTGAAATTCACGAAAAATATGCTGGAAACATTCAGAGTAAGTGTCTCTATAAGCTTGGGATGACTTGAAGGAAGGGTTGAAGATGTACTCGTAATACAGTACTGTACTTGATCCTGGTATAACTGTTTTTAGCAAATTTCAACGGAGAATCATTTCCAATCGAAACGATGAAAAATTCATTCAATTTGAGTTCATTTCAAGTTAAAATTTTGATTTTTATGCACTTCATTTTTGAAACTTTGCCCTCTTTTAAGCACTTCATTTTTGAAACTTTGCCCTCTTTTAAGCATTGAACATGGTGTGTGCGTCATATTGGGGGATAGGATTCTATCCAAATTTTTGAACTAGCAATTCGGGTGCGCGTGGTATTTAAGTGAGAGTAAATAATAAATACGGTAATACAGTACAGTATATGTAAGTGCAGAATATACATATTCTACAGTATACATATTGTCAGCCTCAATATGTAAATTTATACAGTACTGTATATTTATATACAGGCATATATATACAGTATATATATATCTGTATATATATTTTACTGTATATATCTATACGTTTCATACATACAGTATTTTCAATGCTCAGTAAGTCATGGAACTATCACATGGAAGGGGAATTTTGAGGCTGAAGATCGGATCACTTGTGTTTTCAGGTTGTTGGTCAAGCAGATAAGAAATTCATCATTGTCATCGGAGAAGATGATCAGTCGGCATCGTGGTTGATTGCAATTGATCAGCATGCCATACATGAGCGCATTCGCCTGGAAACTTTCCTCACTGGTGCGTGATTTCCGTAAATTTCTTCGTCGGTCCTCATATTTTACTGTATACCGAAATTACTATATTCAGAAAACATTGAAATCGTCAATGGAAATAAAGTTCTGCGCTCGTGTCCTGTGGATCCGCCGATCAAAGTTGAGCTTCCAAAGAGAGACGCCGAGATTTTTTATTCATTATCCGAATTATCTTCCGCGTATGGACTTCGTTGTTCTAATTGGGAAGAGTCGGATTCAAGTGTTCTCATTTACTTCAGTCGTATCCCGTCCTGTTTCATGGAGCGCAGTATTGTGGAGGTAAGTTCCCCTCCTGATGCAGGAACATCCCATTAGTAGATTTTATTTGTGTTTGGCACTTGCAATTGTAATAATCCTGGAATAGATCGCCGTCTGTATTTCTTCTTAGCCTTGGAAATATTCTTAGCACATCTGTGACTTGAAGCTGCTTCGTAAAGTTTTTCCATCTTTAATTTACTCATTGAAGATCATAAAGGGCGGACAGAAACGAAATAACGGTCCTTTCTTGAGCGGTATTGGTATTCCGGTAATTTTGATTGAAATGGAGTGAAGGCAGAGTTCAAGTTGCATACAAAACTTATGTAGTAGTCCTCACATGTAACTAATCAGGGTGTTGCAAAAATCGATATATATATCGGCCAATTTTCTGTAGTTACGGAGTGGGGATCCCGAGGAGCTGCGAAACTTGTGCGCTAAATTCCTGCTGGAATTGATCGAGAGAGTCAATTCCATGGACGGAGCGAGAGTTTGGTCTCTCCCGAGAACTGTGTTGGATATTTTGGCTTCACGTGCCTGCAAAGGTTTCTTGAAGATTTGAATTGCTTGTTTTGATCTTGAACTCACAGCAGCTGCTGGTCATTTGTGCTTTTAGGTGCTATCAAGTTTTTTGATTCTCTAACGAGACCTCAGTGCAATGAGCTGCTGAGAATGCTGAAGCAATGTGATTTCCCTTTCCAGTGCGCCCATGGACGTCCAAGTATGACTCCGTTGCTAAGCCTGACTGTTTGATGAATTGGCTGTTAGCGTTTTTGTACCGTGTGTATTTCTGTCATAGATTTCAAAACATGCGGTTTCGCAAGTTTCGGATTGTTGTGTTCAATAAACTCATTAAATAACCGTTCCCGTGATTAATTAATTCCGTGAATTTTTTACACGAGTTACATTTATGAATAGATTAGTTTTTGTTTTTCGTTACCAAAGTTTATCCAGTTTTCTGTCCACTAAAACGTTGTCAAAAACACAATTTTTAAAAATAAAAATAGCGTTTTTCCTGGTCTCAACAGGTCTTCTGGAACAAATTGTGTTGAGCAAGATTTGGAGTAAATTCGATCTTAATTTTGGTAACTGGGATGATATAATAAAGATAGAGACCCACGCAATAAATAAGTTGCATTGTTCTCTTCTGAAGTGATATCCAGACCTGCTGGACTGGTTGATTGGATAATTTTTAATTTCTATACTGTGCAAAAAAAGTGAGTCCATCATACTTTTATGATTTAATGGAATTTTATTTTCTGAAGCCCTGAATGCAACCATGAGTAAATGTCCACAGCGTAATTCACTGCACAGTAGAATTTGCAATTGTGAAATTAAGTTTATTATACTGCTGTTCAGTGCTGTCATTGCACATAATGGTTTGTTAGAACTACTATAGTTCTGTATACCATTTATCCAGTGGTGCCCAACTCAAAAGTGGTCAAGGGCCACATGCAAAAAGTAAGCCTTTTCTGTGGGCCACAATGCTGAAAATAAATAGACTCCTCTAAAAATTTTCCACATTTTAGATTCATTTGAATTTAACAAAAGTCAACAAGTCCCTTTCATTATTTTAAGCAAACTTGGCTATTTCTCAGAGTGATTTATCTTGCTCAAGTCTTTGTGTTTGGACTTGAAATGCCAGAAAAGATTGCATTCTTTGGAAACTGAAATTTTTTCAAGACAAACCAGGCAAAGCATTTTGCCATTGAATATTGTGAAGAAATATTTTTTTGAGCATTCTTCATTAAGCACACTGCATTAATTGTCATTCTTTTGTGTGTCACTCCTTTCAGCCATTTTTTATTCAAACCTTTGTTGAATGAGAAATTTTCTCATTCAATTATTATTTTCTTCAACCAGAAGATCAATGTTAACTCTTGAATCCCTCTGCATCTTCCATTTATCTGATGGTGCTTCTATTCTATTCATGCTGTGCATGTTTTTGCAAAGGAAAAATTCCATTTTCAAATTTTTTTTCTGTAGGAAGAGCTGGAATTCAACTCCGACTTTTATTTTTTTAAGTGCATATTTTGTTATCCCTGCACAAAAAATAAAATGTTCCTAAAAATTATGAATGAGCAACATACAGTAATACATAACTCATGCAGTTAATCACAAATATGTAATAGTACAATGCATTGTGATATCAATTAGTTTTCTTTTAAAAAATCACTACAATTAAATGAATTATGCATCACTTTTTTACCAGTTCCTGAAAATGAAAACAGTGTCTTCAGAAAGCTACATCCATGTGCCAGTTAAAAGCATGGGAGGAGTGAGTGTGCAACTTGAATTGCACACTCAAACTGAAAATTTTGAAAGCTTCCAGAAATATAGTAAATTACTAACTTATTCTTGTATTTTTATTCAAATCTGCAGGCATTAAGCAAACAAATTTCGAAGGTTTTTTAGAACAAAATAATGAAGAGAGAATGCATTGTAAAACTTTCTGGATAGGAAAAATTTGAAATTTTGCTAGATATATCTTCAGCTAAGGCAAATGTGATGGGATGGTCTGAGCACCAGTTTGAAGGCTTCAGTGGGCCAGATCTGGCCCATGGGCCGTATCTTGGGCACCCCTGGTTTATGCAATAACTTTCCAAAAATTGAGGCTCTCCTAATTAAGGTATTCTCTTTCCTGCTAGTCTGCAGATGAAGATAAGGAAACAATAACAGTTCATGGCAAAATGTTGATAAGACCCGTGCAGTATATGAGAGCTAATATGGATATAAAGTACTGTATATTTAACTGTACTGTACATGGTCTCAACTTCTTTATTGGCCATGGCGCCCATGGAAGGATTATATTCTTTAGTACTGAAAGTCATTAGCGATGATTTCTTTGCTGATGAAACTCGTCTACGCTACAGCAGCGCCGCTTGTACAAGTGACATATCCTCGTCACGAAAACTCTTGAAAACTCTGTGCTGCCGGTTGATATGCTCTTCCTATGCTGGCCCTCGCCGAAGCATGAGTCTATCAATTCCGATCTAACTGCACCTTCGGAAGGTAAACATTCTATCGTCGAAAGCTTGAAGTGTTCGCTTGTGGGAATTTTCCGTTGCTGCATGTGTGGAAAGTTTTCGAGTGATGCGGCTACGTTCGCGACCCATCGCGTGAATGCTGGATAGAAAGATGTGTGTGACCTGTTAAAGATGGGATGCATTTTCCCGCAGTATCTTGTATATCTAAGATGAGTGCGACAAATTGCCCTCGTGAGTTCGCGATGTCTCATAAAGAGGCGGAAGATCGTCTGCGTGAGGCGGTTTGCTTCAATGATGTGGAAACGATCTGTACGCTGATTCAACGGGGTACGAATGTTAACTCGAAGAACGCAGTGAACGAATGGTACGTGATCACTGAATGTCCATTAATGATTTTATCATGTTCTTAAAACTTCCATTTGTTAGATAAGTGCCGTTGATTATTCAATTTAATTTCAGGACTGCGCTTCATTGGGCTGGTAAACGGAATAATCTCGAAGTAGTGCGACTTCTTCTGGCAAACGGCGCTGATCCGAATATCCGCAACGCTGATGGAAAAATTCCGGGTCAGTTGAGCACTCAGCCGGCAGTGCGTTCGTTATTGGGTGTAAGTGACCCAGTTGAAGACGGGGTTGGGGAGCCCTTGGATATAATCCCTAATTATCTTGCACATCCGCAATTGAATTATCGAGTGGACATCGGCGCTAGAAATCCGATTATCAATTTTCGAAACGGTCTAGGAACTCCGGCTGCATCGTCTTCACCGATTGTGGATGGTGAGTATTGTGTGTAACTGGTTCTTTCATTATTAATTCACGGCCGAACCATCAATTTTTTTCAGAATTGGTGTTGAAAGTTCGCATTGCGGGAATGGATGACGATTTCATAGAAATAGATGTTCCGAAGAGTGATCTTACTTACGAAAATCTTCTCTCCACTGCGTGCGCTGAGTTGGAAATTCCCGATCAAACAAGGGTGAAGCGAATCAGGAAGTTACCGAATACGATTGTTCGAAGGGACAAGGACGTCACGAGACTCGGTCCATTTCAAGAAATTGAACTCATTATGACAGATCATCGATAGTTTGTTGGACGTGATCAATGTAATCCTTGACTTGATCAAATTAATTTATCCTTCGTGAAGCTCGCGCAAGTTGCTCGAATAGTGTGATGATTTCAGGAAGTTGGTCCTGTATTTTAAACTAATTGGAAATTTATGCAATGAACCCGGACTGTTTTACTCGTTTGCTGCGGTGATGATATTAAAATAATTTTTTCGCGCTCTTGAAGGCGATCTGGTTTGCTTGGCGCTTGTGCAATAACATTTGGTCATGGCCAAAGATGATTTGGAAATTAAATGGTGTTTCTTCGGGTCGAGCGTGTTTTCAAGATTGCTGCAGCACAAAATTAATGAATTTTCATCAGTTGCTTTCAGGAGCGTGTATAGACAATGAACTTTTGAATGAACTGGTAGAGTCACAATGGTGACGGAAGAGGGCGATAGTTGCCCCTGTGGTGAGCAAAGGTCGGATGGTGTTTTTATGGTCCAGTGTGATTCCTGTGGACGCTGGTATCATGGAATGTGAGTTTACATGATATTTTTCAGAGGATTTGGTCATCATTGTTTTCGTTTAGCATTCAAATGAGATTTTAATGCTGCCTTTTTACGAACGCAGGTGCTGCGACCTACCGGAGTATCGAGCCCACTTGATAGATATGTTCGTGTGTCGGAAGTGCACCACAGGACGTTCGAAGACAGTTTGTAAGTATGCTTATTTTAACGCGTCAGGCGAAAAGTCTACAAACAATTCCTAATTTCAACAGACAAAGAAATACTGAATCAACATCGTCATGACCCGACCGATCCGAGTGGGAACTCCAAACCCGTGCAATGCGGAACTTCAGATTTTCTCGAAGAGCTTTCCAGTCGAGATCTGTACGAGTAGGTCTTAACTTTCAACATTTTTAATATTCCGAATCACGAAGAAATTTGTCGCTTTAGTGCCGAATTGGTGATTGTACGTTTGCGAGCGCAACAATTCAACCTCTTATACGTGTGTCAAAATGGACTGGATAAACCTGTCCTTGTTGCTGAAAAGGATGGTTTAGATTTGAAAATGCCCGGAGGAAAATTCGGATCACCGAAAGATGTTGAAAAATTAGTCGGTGAGTCACTAGTTGGTCAAGATTTTATTTTTGTGCATTTTTTTTTGTCTCACCGTTGTGTTGTACTTCAGGGAGTGATAAAGTAGTGGACGTCATTGATTCCACTCGCCAAACGTCGATCCGGATGACTTTGCGAGAATTGGTGAAGTATTACGAAAGTCCAAGGAAGGGAGCCATTCTGAATTGCATAAGTCTGGAAGTTTCAGAAACGAAGTGGGTTATTTTTTTAACCAAATTTATTTATTGTCCTAAGACTCGTAACGCGGCGAATTTATTTGCAGGCTTGGAAATCTTGTAGACAGTCCCTATTTGGTTCGAAAACTAAGTTGGGATGACACCATTTGGCCGGAGGAAAAGGAGAGAGAAACTGGCTGTGACGTGCAGAAATATTGTTTGATCTCAGCGAAGGATTCGTATACGGATTTTCATATAGATTTTGGCGGATCCACGGTTTGGTACCATATTTTCAAGGTAATTCTGTAGATCCATTCATCATAAATTGGAATCGGTTTAATACCTTTATTTCGCAATAGGGAGAAAAAGTATTTTACTTGGTACGCCCTACGAAGGCCAATCTAGCGGCCTACAAGAAATGGTTGGGGTCAGCTAACCAACTGGAAACGTTTTTCGGGGATTTAGCGGACGTTTGTTACAAATTGAAGGTGAAGCAAGGTAGTACTTTGTTCATTCCATCCGGTTGGATTCATGCTGTGTGGACGCCGGTAGACTCCATTGTTTTTGGTGGAAACTTTCTGCATAATCACAGCATCTCCACTCAATTACAGTGAGTCTTTCGAAGGTTATGTTCTATCGAAAACATGTTTATCATTGTTATTATTGTTCAAGAATTTATGAGATGGAGAAAAGAGCTTCTACGCCTCCGAAACTGTGTTACCCATACCTGGAAACTCTTCACTGGGTTGCTGCGATTCACATGTTGAAAGATTTTGAAGATTGGAAGAAAGATAACAAAGTGACTGGTGTACGGAAGAAGCGAGCTGATGCCGTGATGCCTGTGCCTCCATTTTACATGATGCGTGGATTGAAAGCTTTGAGTAATGCTCTCAAGAGTTGGGCCAATGCTTCGTCAAAATCGGCGAGTTCATTTATCTTTTAATGCCTCGACTGGTTAATTTACGCGCTGGTGAACCGACAAAAACGTAGATATATTGGGCAGATGAAAATATACATTTATGAAATTTTCATTCGAAGGTGCTACAAGGTGAAAGAAAGCAAGAAATAACTGTTCAAGAATAGAATGAAAATATTTTCTATTACTAGTCTCCATGGCATTCATTCTTCGCAAACATAACATGAAGTAGATAGGGACAGTAATCTTTTTCATGAGGATTCCCCTAGTTTCCTTATCCGGACGTCGTAAGGTTTTTTTTAGGCTTCTTGCCGTGATTTTTTTTGTTTTTTCAATATTCCGTCACACTTCCCTTTTCTTTCTTCTCACGCATTCCGCAAATCCAGCGTATCGTACGACCAAGAACGCCCTGAAATAGTTTTTAAGAGTTGTGGTTCTGTAGTGTTTAAATTACCCTGATCTTAACTGTTCTATTCGTCGTGTGGGATTAATCGAAATGTCGGTACGTTTCGGGAAATCTTGTACGATTACCAGCTACATTTGAGGGGGATGGACTCACTTGGTAAATTCGTCAGTGAAGGTCATTGAAGGGTTTGTTTTTTGTTAGCGATTTAAAAAAAACAACTGATATTCTGAATATTATATGTACTTTTTCGCGTGTCTGTCGACGTACTAATTGTTAATTCTTGCTTTTTGCAGAGTTCTACATCGGCCAGACGAGAACCGATCCCCATTTCAGAACCAAACAAACTGGTTAAAGACCTAGCTAAGGAAGTCAAATTTTTGGAAAAGGAACTCGGTGAAATCGCGTTGGAAGATGAGAGCCCTTCTCCGATGCCGGCAAATCCGACGGTATCTGCAAAACCAGTCCCTGCAAAAGACGCGTCGCCGAAGCCGACACAAACAACGAAAGCGAAACGAAGTAATCAACGTGTAGCTGCAAGTCAGGCAGCTGCGAGAGCCCCAAAATCTGAGACGGCGAAATCCAAGAAAGCGGAACCGGAAAAGCAAAAAAAAAGTGTACCTTCGAAGGAGAAAACTAAAGGAGAAATACCGTCAGAGAAGCGTGACAGCCCTGTCGTTAAAGCCGAGACCGAAGCACAGCCACCTGCGAGAGGGTCTCAACGCATTCGTGGGCGAGCACCAGCACGTTATAGATCCGAGTCACCTGTTCAACCTGCTCCTCGGAAAGGTCTCAAGAGAACCATGAAGAAAACGGTCGAAGAAGCACCACCTGTTAAGCTCCCTCGTTGGACCCCAAAGAAAACCCGGGGAGCGTTAAAAGACGCGGTTAAACCCGACCCAATGACCCAGTTCGACTTCGAGGACGAATCCAATGAAGGCGAAATTGAGTCAAATCAGGTCTTGAAAAAACCACCGACGAAAAAACCGTCTCCGCAGAAAAATTCTGCTGAAAAAGCGAAGCCACGTGGGAAGAATAGGAAGAAACTTGTCGAAACCGAACCCGTGAAATCTGAGGAAGAATCCGTGGATTTGGAAACTAAGCCTGAAGTTGCCCCCGAGGATCTCAATAAGGATGTACCTGGAGACAGTGACGTCTTCGGTATGTTCTCACAGGTTGCCAACACTTTTAGGAAAGTCGAGCCTCTGAAGCTTTCTATCAAACATGATCCATCGAAGTCGGAATCCGCTAAGTCGACCGTCATTATTGCTGCAGAAAAGGTGATCAACGATTACCTCAATGTTATTTCTACAATGCGCCTTATCTACGAAAATATTCTCCTCATAACGAATAATTGGATTCTCCTTGTCAGTAGTGATACTAGTGAAAGATGGGCGGACTTTTTGATTGCTTTGCGATACAGGATTTCTTTATCAACATCAAAAAATTTTGGCTTCGTCAATCTCGAACAGACGAACTGGCTGACGTACATTTTTGTATAGTTTTTTCGTGCGTACTACGTTTCAGACGCGAAATATGATCTTCATTTATCAAATTTATCTTCTTTGATATTTTCGAGTGCGTAGAGCAGTTCTTCCTTCACGTTCGACGGCCGCGAATTATAATTATTTTTCAAATAATACATGTTTCGTGAAGTTCGTTGCATGTTGTTTAGGGAAACTTGGTTAAAGCTCGCATAATACTTTTGTGGTTTTTTTTAAGGTTTGTGGTAAAGTCGACACCGGCTGAAATTTCTTGAAACCAAGATTTGAGTTTACAATTGAAAAAAGCGTGTGGTAAATAAATACCTTATTTATAAGCACTGCATGTTTATCCCCGAAGGAGAAAACATTTGAATGAAAAAGGCTTTTTTATTTTTAGAAAATCAAGCCTGTGAAAAAGCGGAAATCTCCGGCGACGAAGCGGGAAACTCACGAAAATATCGACGAGGGAAATTTGGTCGTGAAAATATCCAAGAAAACCGCAAAAAATCCCCCGAAGAATCAGGAGACGAAGAAGCCGAGAAAAGCAGTTGTGCAGACAGGGTCGAAGAAAAAGACACCTGCCGAAAGACGAAAACCCGGTACCGAAAAGACTCCCGTTCGAAAACCTGCGCGATCGAAGGCGAAGAAAGCCGTCGAAGCAGCTCCCGTCGTTGTCGCCAAGAAGAGCAGCGCGGACGGTGAAAAGGAAGTTGAGGAAGAAGAAGTGTTGAACGGCCTCGTGATAGACGAACACGCTGTCGTCACTGATCCCGTGAAATCTCCTGTTCCGGAAACTTTCAAGCTTAAATTTTCTCGTGAGTTAAAGGGCATTTTATTTTTATTTTTTACTTGAAAAAAATGAGATGCATTTTTTCTTGTGATATTGGCTTGAAATAATCAGGACGCGTCTTCTTTTCGGATTGCTTCATGCATTTCATGGTATTTTTGATTTCCTAGTAAAATGCAAGCTTGCTTCTGATGCACACAATTTTTAGAATAAAAACATTAAATAAAACCGTCAACATTAATTACGGTGACTTTTAAAATTTGACGAAGTTTTAGTCCAGATTTTTTTTCTTTCGTCATATTTTCGAGTTGATGCTGTTACATTTTCTTTTGAAATATGATTGAGCACTTCGTTGCAGTTGGAAAACGTGGTGGAATTTCCGTCGCAACTTCCCCGGTTCATGGGACCGGCAGTCCTGACCGATTGGAGTCGACCTGGGACCACACTTCGAGTTCTGGAATTGATCAACTGCTCAAAGCGTCAGTTCTGGATGCGGAGGACAAACGAATCGCCCAGGAAGTGGTAGAGTGAGTATTTTAATCTCCAGCAAATTCTTCCGTGTTTATTCTGCGATGAGGCAGGATTTAAGAAATTATTAGTTTAATTGAATGACGCTGTTACATTATTCGAATTTTATGCCGTTCGGGCCGTCATGATTTCCAAGTTTGAGAAAATATAAGTTTCATATTCTAAAACATCAGATTTTATTGTTAACTATCGGAGTTCGTTTAATAGGATCTTTTGGTTTATATCCTAGAAACCGAGGTCAGTCATCGTTTTCTTAGCATAATTTAAAGTTTAAACTGATACATTTCTTCATGAATAGACGCAGCTAAAAAATTCGTTTCACTCTTTTTTTTTTAAATTCCCAGACGATGTTATTTTGGCTGTCTCGATTGGACTTGCTTGAAATAAACATGTTTTTGAAAAGCGACTAAATTTGCTCACAGGTCCGGGAGAGCGTCACCGTCAACTCGGGATGCCATTGCTGGTATGCTGTCCATTGGTCGGGTGAATCCATTTCCTGGTCTCACTTCCTCATCGGGGACACCCCCGTGGCAGTCTCCTTTGTCTTCCGCGATGAGCTCTCGGTTGGCCGGCAATTCTCCCATGTATGGTTCCGAATCCCCCGTGCATGTGTCCTCTCCAGTGCACACGGGTTGCGGCTCGCTCATGGCTTCCTCGAGCTTGGCGAACCCACTTTCTATGTCGACGGGATTGAGCAGTACTAAGCAGAACGTGAAGAAGCATCGTCCGTTGGAACCCTATCACATCGTCGATACTAAGGATGATGACCAAGGTTCAGATGGAGAACCTGTGAAAGAGGTTCACCAGGATGACGATTTTGGTGATTATCTGTTTACTGCAGAGATGATTGCATATTTTTACTTTATTTGAGAAGGGGTGCGAATGATTGACTGTCTCAATGAACACTCTAACTTTGAGAAAGAGGGGAAACCAAAACATATACACTTGTTTTGATAACATTCATCGCTTAATCTTTTTGAGCATTGAATGATGAAAAAAGATTTTTGTGAAGAAACTTGCCTTCGCAAATACTGTGATGCCAGAAAAGTGTGTTGAGCCACAAATTTAAGATTTTATGGAATATCCGTTCTCTCTCAGGAAAAGGGATTGAATGTGTTACAGAGTGGATTTTTTGTTTTATATCTTACTTCTAGTATTTTTGATCGTGTTAAAAATGTTACGTTATTTTTGCTACACCTTCATGTTTAAAAAACGTATCTCATGGCATGTATTACGTTGAGAGTCTGAAAGACAGGGTTTTTGATCATCCCAGAGATTTTGGTGACACCTGGTGAGTATTCCAGAAAGTAGGTTCGAACGTCAAAGGGGAAAACCCTTCATTTTTTTTGAATTATCATTTTTTTGGGAAGAAGAAAACTTTCATCAGGAGTAATGATTTCAGTTTTTCAAGCTGATCGGTTTTTTTTTTTCAGTGTACACGCCGCTGAACGACTCGGATGACGAATTAGGGACCGACGGGACAAAGCGGAAACTCGGTGGCGGAAGCAAGAAGCCCGAAGATTCTGCGTGGAGTCCAAGAGCGAGGGTAGTTTCCGGCCCGAAACCCGAACGACCGCATCGCGAAGGCACGCAGCGAACCTGGGCTGAGAAAGGGTTGCAAGAAGCACGGAAAAGCTCCGTGCCGACGACGTCATCGTCGTCGGCTGGTCCGAGTTGGGCATCGCCGGAAGGCGCTGGGCGGTCGTCGTCCCCCGACCCATCGGATCCGACGTCTCCGTTGCACATGACGGCGGCTTTCCTGCTGAATAGCCCCGCCTTGCTTGGAGGAAATGTTAAAAAGGATACGAAGCTGGGCTTTCGTTCCTTTCCGGCACCGAAAAGTTCTCCGTCGTCGTCGTCTTCTTCGGACGCTTTTAAACGTAAGCTCGTCCGATAGAATCTTTCACAGTAAAGTCCCAAAATTACTTCAAAATAGGACACACGTCGCATTTATTTTGCCTTTAAAATATTTACCATATCGTCAGTGAGGATCAGGTTACCATTCATGGTCTTGAATATTTTCGTACGGAATTGATGCTTCCAGGTTTCACGTTTTGGAATGTCTTGTGTAGCATTAAACTGCAATGAAAAGACAATTATTTTACAGTATTGTTACTATTTCCTCGTTACGTTTTGTATGCATCGCTAAGATGCGATTTCTGTTTCCTTTCCGTGTTCGGTTAGAAAAACTGCGACCTATGACGCAGTGGACTGTTTTTTTCGCGTCGTGGTTTTCTGATCGGTTTCTCGGTTTTCTAATTTCAGGTAGACCAAAGAAAGGCATGGCGACTGCAAAGCAAAGGTTGGGAAAGATCCTCAAGATACACAAAATGCTCTATTAAGATGATTTCAGAGAAAGCATGGATTTTTCAAAATTATTATAATGTCAGTGTTCGGTCAACACTGGCGTTTTTCCGTCGATTTTAATTCGAATGCGCACGCGTTGGAATGTGCAGTTTTTCAGCAAATACCCGCTATTTCAGCTTGTTTTCACTTGCGGTTGGATTGGAAAGTACGTTATTCGTCTATAAATATTGCCAAACGTTGGACTTGTGTGTTTGTACCAAAAGTGTGTTGGAAGCATCGAGGAACGTCCGTATAATCGCTCAAGAAAAATGATATTTTTTAATCATTGGATTGGATGCATTTGCCTTTATGGAGCGATTGGAGAAAGAAAAGATTCCTTTGCTACTCGGCTTTTTTTTACGAAGGATTTTTTCAAAGAATAAATATATTGTTGTCCGCTTTTCTGTCTTCAAATGTAAGATTAAAGTTAGTAACGCCGGGAAGTTTTCAGTTTTGGACGTCGGTGTGGGATTATGACGGAAAGATGTTTATGGAAGCGAAACAAGTATTTTTGCATTGACAGTCGCCTGAAGTGAGCCAAGAAATGTGCCCGTGGACGAAGAATGTACGCGAATAAAATATTGTTCATGGACTGAGTCCCTCTTTTTTTAGAAAGCCATATAATCGAACTTTTCAACAATATTGGTGCTTGACATTTTTTATGCAAAATTTTTTTTCAGTTTTCTTCTTATCAAGGATGGTGAGTCCATTGTTTAAAATAAGGAGAGCATCGAATTAATTGCATGCATATGTATAAAATTAATTGAAAAACTTTGGTTGCATGGAATTTCTACGTGACCACGCATATCAGTTCGCAGATGGAAGATTTCTGCAGATCCTCGATGAAATTCGAACTTCTGGAATAGTTCTTCCGGATTAAATTGAAGCTGTATACAAGCGTGATTGATGATGAAGCATGAATGCCTTCTTTTTTGCAGGAAGTTTTAGTGAGTCTCATGTGAGACTTGCGCAATCCAGATTTCCTATCTGTCACTTGCTTGAGCTTCAAGAAATGATTGATGCTGGTTGCTGAAAGTTCGGTCGTCGGAGAAAATCGATTTCAAATTTTTTTTCCAATGGTCAGTTCTGCAACATCATGCGACGCGGTCGATGCTGCTCACGTCGCTGTCGGATCCCGGCGATGATGAATTATCGACACCGACATCATCCTGTCGACTTTCCGACGCTAGCATCTGCTTCGTTGTTCGGAGGAAGACTCCGATGAAACGCGATAAACCAAGACGTGAGTTTCATTCGTTCTTCGAAGCGGAAATTCATGCAAATTTCGAAAGCCATCCCACCGCAGAAGAACGATTTATTTCACCACTGACGCGGGATCAGAATGGCTTCGAATGAAAATCCAATTTTTTTCTTCAACATTTTTTGTTCAGTCAAATGGAAAACGCGTTCTTCATTCTACTGCACATTTTATTAAGACTAATTCTCAATGAAAGAAATGTAAACTGACAGTCATGTCGTAAAGTTCCGAATGGAGTCGGATTTGTTCGCATCCTTTCGAAACTTCGAGACAAACATGTTATTTCCGCATTAAAATGCACACGAAAATTCAAAAGGGATATTCCGAGTCATTGTGGAATTAAGGCGATTTGCCACGTTTTTGAGAAAGAAAAACAATTCTTTTATTTTCATCCGTAAAAAACAGAATTGCGTCGTGGTATTTTGCTCACCCGATAAATTTCTGCAGAAATAAACCTACCTTCGCACAATTCGGTTCATTACGTCACGAACCCCGTTTAAGTTTATAGTTCGGTTGTCGGACATCTGGCTCACGAAAACGCGAGAAATACTAGAAAAAAGGATTCTTGAATTTCAGGAATATATACGTAAACTGATTTTTACATAAAATCACCCGGCGACGACGACATATTGATGAATGTTCGGCAAAGCGAATGGAGGCCAAAATTGTCACCGTTTTTTTGGGGGGGGGGGGGGGGGGGGGGAAAAA